TTAGCACTTTTTATTCCTAGGGAGACACTCCTCAGTATTCTTTTGAAAGTAAGGAGAAATCAAGTTTATGACTATTTCAAGAACCCTCATTCTAATTAGACTCTTTGAGAGTTCGAACTCCACCAGACCTCAGGAAACAGGTGCTAAGAGTTCTAGTTAGAGGAGAAATCGGGATCAAACTCAGGCCTCCTGAATCAGGCCACTGCGTCATGCTATCGGCTGGAAATGTAATACACAATTAAAGTACAATATTTGCACTTCACTATATCTTTTTTCTTTTGGTAGAAAAGTTTGTTTTACAAAAGGCCTTGCTGATAAATAGTCCTACATTTGATGCATGCCAGGTAGTTATGTAAGTATATGGTTCTTTGCCAAAACTTGCATTGAACTTTATAAAATACTAGCAGAGTTAAAATGCCATATTTATTTTTTTCAAATATTCAATTGCAAATTCAGGTAAACATTATTTTTAGGTAAAATGCTTACTTGAATCTTAAGTAAAAGTCTTGTTCATTTATAACAGAGAAAAATAGATCCAAATTAAAAATTATACATTTGATAAGAAAATGCTCTTCTATTTCATTCATTTCTTTGGCTAATATGATGGCACATTTAATGGGTTTGACACATAAAAGTCTTGTTCATTTATAACAGAGAAAAATAGATCCAAATTAAAAATTATACATTTGATAAGAACATGCTCTTCTATTTCATTCATTTCTTTGGCTAATATGATGGCACATTTAATGGGTTTGACACGACACGGCCAGAAATATATAGTCCTCTTAATTCAATTGTTAAATCAGCCAAGATTCTTTGTATAGAGTCCACTGAACACATGTTCTACTAGGTATTGTTTTAGGAAGAAACTTAGAACATAGTCCTTACCTTCTGAAATGTTACATGCATATGTAATGAGTTGAACTCTCAGGGTAGGCATCAGTCACTTCTCTGTAGCCTATGAGATGACTGACAATGTCAGAACACCGGTGGAAAGAACTACTGGAACCTAAGCCTGGTCGTCTGGGTAATAGGGATTTTCACTCCCCTTAATGAAGGGAATCCAATTCTACGTGTGAGTGTGGAACAAAAAGATGGACAAATATACATGCATGAAGATAAATACTAAAAACTAGTTTGTGAGGCCTCACTTATTTATTACATAGAAATACAAACAATTTTAGATATAAAGAGGAGTGAGAACAAGAAAGAAAATGCTGGTGGAAGGAAGTTTGCAGTGACTGGATTTGAGGGTACTCCTGGGAAAACTATCTATAGTCTTTTTCTTCCTCTAATATTTCATATCAGTCTTGGTAATAACTAAGGTACATTCTTTTCTGGACAAGTACATGAGGAAGCTGATTATCTATAAATGAAGGTATAAAATTTTCCATAAGGAATTAGCGTTTTTCACTTCATGAACCTAAACAGTATCATTCATGTTTTAAGATAAATACCAGTCACACTGAACTTTTTATAGTTCCCAGTAGTAGACGGTCAGGTATTCCCAAATTACTGGACTTCGGGCACATTGTTCCCTCAACTGGGAAAATTTTGCTCCTCTCTTCACAGGGCTGGCTCCATTTCATCCTTCCATGTGAGCCTAATTGCCTCCTTGGAGAAGCCTTCCAAGACACCTTACAGAAAGCGGAAAATTACTTCCCTTCCTCTTTTTTTTTTTTCCTCTCTAACACAGCACCTTGGTCGTTGCCCTACTTGACACTTTCTTATTAAATGGGTCTTCTAGTAGACTAAGTGCTCAACGAGGGCAGAGACCATATCGATCTTATTCGTCACTGTGTACCAAACACCTAGCTCAGTGCTTAATATGTGGTTGACATGGAAAAAAAAATTGCCTAATGAATGAATATGCTTCACACAAGTGTTAAGCAATTAAAAGTCTAGATTCTTCTTCTTTTGTTTTTTAGTTAAAAATCTCAATTTGCTTTGTTGAAATTCTAGAATCAGGCAGCATGTCATTCCATAAACTAGAATAAATGTTCCAATGAGCTGAGCAGAGGAGGTTAGTTTATAGACAGAAAAAAGGCAGAAGAAAGCAGAAACAAAGAACAAAAGTGGATTGGTCATTTCAAAGTTACTTTTCATGTATGGTGAGGACAGGGAGACAGAACAATGTAAAAATAACTGATTAGTTAACTTCAGGTTACTTCAGGCTGTCCTTTTTGCGTAAGGATTACAGCAGAGGGAACTTCCTACCTATTGAAAATTTAGACAGGCCTGTTTGGGAAATTAGCTATTTTCTCTTCTGATTTCTTGGAAGGTCAGACCACAACCAAAGTCATGTAGAATTTAGCAGGGATGACTCCGTTTTGATTCTTAGTCTGGTCTTTGGGGACTAGTGTGGGAACTTAGTTCCAAACAATAACCCCTTATAATTTTTATTTAACAATTCCCCCTTTTTGATCAGGCCATCACTTAGGTGAGAGTGTGACCAAAACTTAGGGCACCAGCACTGCTCCAATTACCATCACTCTGGGTTCCCAGTCTCAGCATGCCATTCATAGGTTAAGGTGTCCTCATTATGATGCATTTCTTTGAGTTTTTGTTGTTCCAGCTCATTTGACCATTTGGTGAGGACCATTTATGTTCAATGGATGGCTGCACAAAAACATTTTGCAGCACACAAGAGAGGCGAGTGTCATGACTATCACGAGGATAATACCAGATTTAGGGCCATGCTCCTTAGCTAAGGTCCCCATGAACTGAACCAAATGAGGAGTCTACCCATTTTAACCAAGTAGCATGTTCATTAATTTTTTTGTAAGTGAGTCTTTATAGTGCCCAATATATTTATCTACATGCAACAAGAAGTGTTAGCAACTGTACAAACTACTCCCTGTTCAGTTTGTGGGTGATCTAGCATCTCATGACTGGGTTAAAGCAGAGAGTGACAATTTGTAAGACACCCACAGAAGTTACTGATTGTGAAATTTTAACTACAACTTTATTTTGCCAAACAAAAGGCATAAGTAAGGAAAAATTAAGAGGGGTAAGAATCTCATCATAACAGAAAGACCTGTTCTGATGAAAGCTGTCCACAGTATAAAGTCAGCAGCTTCTCATCCTGGTTTGCAGTTTGAATGTCTCTGGTTATGGCATCAGGCATTTCTGGTGAACTGTCAGACTGGTCCCACATCAGGCATGAAACTTGTTCCTTAAAATTTACATCGAGTTGTCCAGCTTCAGCTTATAGGTCTTCAGGACCAGAGCAGTTCTTGTTCTTAGAGAGTTGTAGCCAGATGTTAGAGAAAACTAGAAAAATTCAAAATCCAGTCCTGTCTACAGATAGATAACAAAACTTGAAAACAGTAAACAGGGCTACAGTCTAATAACAGGTGTACTATAGTTTTCTTTTGAAACATAAATTTTTCTCCCTACAGTCACCCCCATTTCTACCAAAGATAATCATGGCAAGACTAATTTGCCTGGATATTTACATAAGCTTTGCAGGAGTAGCCACCTAGGCTCCTTTTAAATTTGTTTTGCTGGAAATTTTGATAAAAAATATCAGATTAGACTTAAAAATCTGGATGGTAGGAATCCAAACCAAGGCAGACATTAGACTTTGCCTGCTGTATAAAAGTCTAGGTTATTCTTTAATCAAGAAGCTGGGTATTTCTTTTAATATTCCTCTTGCTATTTCTTGCTCGTTTGTCATTTGATTTAACATTCAAGAACTCAGTTTGACAATACTTTGTAACTTCATTGGCTAGAAATGAGAAATACACAAAAATGATCAATTTCCTGATCTCTCCTTAGAACCAGTATTTTCTAATGACTTAAAAAACTATTCATGGGCAGGTTTCCCTGGCAGATGGTAGAAGGTCTTCTGTTCACTATTTAGCCATGGCAAGCTTAGAAGTGAGGAATAATTTCATAAAATTTCATAATAAATATTTAATATATAAAATTGTCACATATGCAGCATATATGTAAAAATACGATTTGTAGGAAGCTCTAGGCATAAAGTGATCTGAGATATAAATGTGTTTATCCCCTTTTTGGATTTATTTCTTTTAATGTGCCTCTATGTGTAAATAACTTTAGAAATCCTTTTGTACTGGTTTTTCAAAATTTGAAGCAAGAGATTTATAGGAATTAATTTTGCGTACTTTTCTTGTTAAAAATGCTTTGTAAACTGTGACTATAGATAGCGTGCTTTGAGAATTGTGGAAGCTAAACTTACCTGATGATGAAGATACTTCACAAAGGAATTCCTTACACTTTTCAGATATTTCAGCTGTTGTTTTTTAAACATAGATTAAGTCTAGATTGACAAACTGGTAAAAGAAAAGGGAACTTTTTCACCTTGCGTTCAAGCTGCTTTTCATTAGGAAACATTCACATGTAAAAGTGCCTCACAATTACCTGGACATTTTGCAATCTACTAAGGCAGGACTGTCCAAGCTATATTGTGTCCTTATATTGAAAATCCCAATTTCTGCTATGCCAACCCTACTTCTTATTTCTTATAAAGCATTTTATATGTTTTTCAGGTGCCTCAACACTTTATTAGTAACCAATAAAAGCTTGATAACAAAATAAAACTGCCCTTTTCAAACAAAAAATATGACCACAAAACATTTTGTAGAACTTTTAATTTTATTAAGAATTTTTAACACATTATGGATATACATATAGATATTTCAGTGCAGTTGTAACACATTGAAAAAATGTTCTGGTAAATGGAGTCATTACTAAATAAACATGGACTTGTAACTCTACTTTATCAAGCTAAAACACATTATGGATATACATATAGATATTTCAGTGCAGTTGTAACACATTGAAAAAATTTTCTGGTAAATGGAGTCATTACTAAATAAACATGGACTTGTAACTCTACTTTATCAAGCTAAACATTATGATAAATTTCACATTGTGATTCTAGCTTCACTTTTATATTTAAGTAATATTATAGAAGGCATATTTTCTATAATATTAATATATTCTATCTAATAGCCTCATGCACCCTTATAATATACTTTTTCAGTTTCACCAAGTTATATAATACTAATTCTTAAAGTTAATCATTGAAAAATGTGCCCTTCCCTTTCATTTTCCTATTTCTTTCTTAATCTAATCAAATAAGGTATATAACGCAATAAGCTGATTTCAAAACTTAATTCAAGTTAATTTATAACAAGTATTTTAAAAATATTTACATTCAAATCTAAAAAAAATAGTTACAATGTGTTAAATGAATATTACTTAAGGAATACACATACCCTATCTTTATATGTCGTAGTCGTATCTGATTTAAGTGGTAGCAGCTAGTTAAAACTTTTTAAAAAAAATCTCTATTTTTAACATAAAAATCCAAGTGTATGTTTTTTAGATATATAATTATGGCCTTAGAAAAAGTTTAAGTTAAAATTTTTAATAGTGCTATTAAGCCCCCTGCTAATTCCTAGGTGTTCATAGCACTCAATGTTTATAAAGGTTTGTAATTACTTATAAAGGTTTTCTGTCTTCACCAAATCTACTTCTGCTTATACTCCTGAGACAGACCCACAATCTCAAAGGAGGGGACAGTAAAAAGGGAAACTCCAAGCCACCATCACAGGCACAGACCTCCGCCATTTAGGATCTCAAAATGTCAGGACAGTTCGAATGCTGAAATGTAAAATGAGAGTTTTTAGTGATTTGTTTCTATATCTTTCAAATAAGAATAGTTTAAACAATTGTCCTTCCTCTTGTCATAGAAACTTCAGGTAAATTCTGCTATTGGAAATCCTTCTGGGCCTGAGGTCCTCACCAATTAATTTTCTTTCTTATATGTCTCTCATAAGGGCATCTGAGCTGATTCTAGAAGCATCTTAATAATTGCAATAGGCCAACAAGAGGAAAGGGGTTCTCAGGCTGAAGAGAAAGCATGAATAAGGCTAGTAAGGTATGAGCAAGAAGGTAATTCAGTGTAAATGTAGATGAGACCTACCTGCTTCCCTCACTTTATCTCCAGAGCTTGGTGCGGAGACTGCAATAAAATGGGTGCTTAATTCTAGTTGTTGAATGACTAGATAGGTTAATAAATGAAAATAAGTTTTCGTTCAATAATAAAGGCTTTCAATGCCATGCTAAAGCATTGACATGTTGGGACAACTTGAGCTGAGCAGCTTAGTGAAGGACTAACTAGAACGGTAAAATACAGAAGGCAGGAGACCTGTTATCAGACTACTGTGTTAACATGACTTGGTTAGAGATGATTAGACTAAACTAAAGCAGTGATCATGGGCAGTCAGGGGAGAGATGCTGGAGAAGAAATCAGAGCTTCCATCATCAGGCCTTAGCATCGGTTTATTTGTAGTAGGCAAGAGTGAAAAAGAAGTCAGACACGATGCTATGGCTTCTAGTCTATAAAAGCAGAATAAGTGACATTATTTGCTGCAATAAAATGTGCCGGTGGAAGAATTATTTTGAGTGAACTTGCTGTTAAGTAGGACATTCAAGTGAAGTTATGCAGAAAGGAGATGGACATTGAGGAGCTTAGGTTTACAGACATCAATTTGAAAGTTCTTGCATTAAGGTGATATTTGAAGCAAAATTCCTGAGAGCAGAATTTATCTTTCTTTGAAAAACAGCCAGTAATTATTTTTCAAACTGGCCATATTAAGCCATTAGTTTTGCTCATCTGAGTAAAGGAGTACTGGATGTTTCTGACAGTTTTTCTGACAGAAAACCATTGTTTACTTGCTTAAAAATAATTTAAATGTATTTTCATATCATGATGATCCTGTAGGCTAGATCAGATGTAGAGATAAGATACACACTGTAAAAACACTAAAGGGAAAAAAATTAGTGAAAACTTGCATTTCAGATTAATTTATAGTTTCTTTTACTAATGAAACCCAAATTCTTGGCACATAGTAAAAGAAACTGTAAATTAATCTGAAATGCAAGTTTTCATTGTCCAGTCCTTACAAGCTATAAGAGCAGTGATAAAGATGCCCATGTGTGCCAGAGCTTGACAAGCTCTGTCAGAGAAGTGCGGCATGTGGTAAACAGAGCACAGGCTTCGCACTGAGTCTGAATCCTGGTGCTGCCCACAGGAGGTCTGAAAAGTTATTTGTTTGCCTCTCACAACCTTAAGTTTTTCAAATGAAAATGGTAAGAATAATACCTGACCTACAAGGATTAGAAGAAAGCACCTTTGAAAAAGCACACTTAAAACTGTACAGTAAGGAAATTTTGTGGCGTTACTTGAAGAAACTAGCAGCTTTGTGATGAAATAAAAATAGCCAAGATGAAATATTAACTGGTGTGAAAAAAAAGTCCAGAAGATTTTTAAAAACTGTTTAATATAGGACAATGGCATAATAAGTTTATGAGGATCAGCTACATCAATCTGACTAGGCTAAATAATCAGAAACAAAATATGAAGGAAACAAGTACCTTTGTAAGTAATGAATTCTAAAAGTAGCCTGTGGAGAAGAAACAAGATGACCTGCCCATTGATGGATGATTGGATACAGAAACTGTGGTATATATACACCATGGAATACTACTCTGCTGTAAAGAAGAATGAAATTCTCCCATTTGCAACAACATGGATGAGCTTGGAGAAAATTATGTTGAGTGAAATAAGCAAAGCACAGAGGGAAAAACACTGCATGTGCTCACTCGTAAGTGGGAGCTAAGAGAGAAAGAAGAAAGGAAAGTCCACAGTGGTGTGTTGGACTTGCAGAGGGAGAGAGCAGACCTAGGGATACAAAGTGGAGTGAGGAAAGTGGCATGGGGAGGGAGGTCGGGGATGATTGGGTGGGGGACACCAGATATAATCGCAATTTGTGGTAATGGGCATGCTGCCAGTATGGATCTGGCCATCACATCTTGGGCACGAGTGGTGACAGTCAGCTTTGTACCCCATGAATATTCACAACCAATAAAACAAACAAAAAACAGATACCTTTGCCCTGAATAGAGCAGTTCAAATCCTTCACTGATTTTCTGGAAAGGTAAAACATGAGTTATCAACTGGTCCAAGTCAAATTTCTTTTCCAGGAAATCAGACACTAGTTTTGGGACATCATCTCTGCTTTTCCAACCTGTAAATAAGCACACATTTTTTTCTTTAGACTTTACTAAGCAGTCTTTATATTTTATTTTGCTATGTTTGTCCTTTTTTCCTGCATTCTTACCTTTCCCCATATTGGATCATTTCCAACAGCATACAAATAAGCTGTATTTCTCCCATCTTGAGAAATAAAGTCCAAAGAAAACCCTCTCTCAGTTCTCACATCTCCTTTTGCATGCCCTGTATTTCTGCTTCTATTACAGATAACCTTCTTTACTTTGCAGAAAGAACTGTCTCCAGTTCACTGTTTGTGCTTGCAGTTCCTTTCCTCTCACCCTCCTACAGGCTCTTGCCCCCAGCACTCTGCTGGAACAGCTCCTGTCAAGGTCACTTGTGACCTCCATTTTAACTCAGACAGTGGTCAATTTTCAGTCCTGGTCTTCTGTAAACTGTTAGGTGGATTTGATGCAGTCGGTGGTTCCCTTTTTCCCGTTCACTGGCTTCTAGATACTGCACCATTGCGTGGTTGTCCTTCCTCACTTGTTCCTCCTTCCAGAGATCTCTGCCGGATCTCCACACCTCCCAGGCCTCAAACTCTGGCATGTCCTAGGGTTTGGTCCTCAGACCTTCTCACCTCTTTATATTTACTTTCAGGGTGATCTCCTCTGGTCTCATGGCTTTAAATACATTCTGCTGAAAAAACTTCAGTTTATATTTCCAGCCTAGACTTCTACCTGAACTACAGACTCATACCCATATATCCAACTGCCTACCTGACCTCTCTGCTCAGATGTCTGAGAGGCATACAAACTTGACCTGCCCAGACCACTCCTGATTTCCACCACCTGTACACTAGTCCCCAACCTGTTCCTCCCGTAGTCTTCCTGTCTCAATAAATGACTGCATCATTCCTGTCGCTCAGGACCAAAATCTTGGATTCTATTCTTTCTGTCATACAGGAATACTTCAAAAAATCCCATTGGATCTAACTTCAAAATATATCCAGGATCTGACCACTTCTCCAAGCCACCATCATCGACTTCGTGCCTTATAGTAACTTCTTCCGTGGTCCCACTGCTGGCACCTTTGCTCATAGAATATTCCCCACAGAGCAACTGGGAGAAGAGTGTTAAAATGCAAGTCAGGTCGGGTCACACCTCCCTCAAAAGCCTTCCTTTCTCACTCCAATGAAGATCCTAACACCTCACCAAAACCTTGCCAGAAGGCCCCACGATCTGCCCTCCGAGCCCAGTTGCTGCTGTTGTGTTCCGTGGCCAGCTAGCCTGTTCTCACTGCTCTCACTTGCCAGCACTCCTCTGTGATTCCTACCCCCTCGCCCCGGAGCACTCTTTCCCAAGATTCCTGAAGAGCTCATTTCCTTTATGTTTTTGCTCAAATGTCACCTTCTCAGGGAGGCCTTCCCTGATCTTGGTAAACCAGCACTCCCCTCCTCTCCACCCTTTCCACCACCTGTTGCCCTTTCTCTGTTTTTCTCCCCAGCACTTGCCACCATATGGTGTGCTCTGCATTTACTTACTTACTGTCGGTCTCTCTGCACTAAAATGAGAGGATTCTCCTACTTTCTGAGAGCAGGAACTTGGTATGTTTTGCCTCTGCTAAATTCCCAGCTCCTGGAATAATGCCAGTACTTAGCACACACTCAATAAATATTTATTGAATAACAGGATCTTACCTCTAATATCCCTGAATAATCTATAATCTCCCCACATCACACAAACAGCTGAAGTGAGGAGACTCAGCTCACATCTCTTATTGTTTTGTTCCTCTGTTCACGTCCTATTTCCTCTAAAGCCTTATCTGCACCAACCAGCCTCTCACTCTTGTGCCCCAAATAATGTTGTGGAAAGAGAACAAGCTTCAGCATCCGATGGTCCAGCTTTAAACCACAACTCTCAACTTGGGAACTACAGGAGAAAAGGACTTAATAGTTGCAAGTCTCAGTTTTATTATTCATGAGTAGCTATCTCAGATAGTTGCTGAGAACTAAAATAAACTAACACTTTTACGTAAAAGTTTTAACATATAATAAATGCCAAATAACTCCTCTTGTAATTTGTTTTA